TTTGGTAGGAAAAAAATTCAGTGCAAAAGAGAAACCCCGACAAAAAAGCCTAAAAACACGCTAAAAATACCCCCAAAACCCAAACCTCTGCTTGGAGAGTAGGTTTGGGGGAGTTCGGCTCGTGTTCGGGAGGCAATATATTCGGCATCATACTGTGGCGTCGGTTTCTTCTGCTTCTATCAACGTACTATTTAATTAACACCTGCCTCGGAATTCCTACAAATTTGGAACCTAAGTTTCCTTTAAAAGTTTGTCTGCTACAGATATCAGACCGCACCCGCCGGTTTTTGTGTCAGAAATCATTATGAGATGTCAGCAAGAACGTGTTGTTGCCAAAGAGTGCGCTCATCCTGCAGCGCCGCCTCCAGTCGCACATCAGTAACGGTGCGTCCCCTTATACCTCTGATTAACGGTCGACCCCTTGGTGTTTAATACTGAGATTGCCCCCGCGACTTCTGTCGTCAGTGGGGAGCACTCTGCGTTCAAGGCACGTCCTCCCACACCTCGCCCCTACCCGCTGTTGATCCTGCTACCCACCGCCGGAGAAAACACGGTTTTTACACCGCTCCGGGATAAGAGGCTATTACGAGATGAAGGCACTGACGTGTGGCGGAGGCTGGGAGTTGTGATAGACGGTTGAAGTGGACGGCAGGCCCGAGCAGGTAGAACGTGAAGACCCGTGCCGGGTGGAAAGGTGCTGGCGGGCGCGAGTGGATGGACCGTAGTGGGGAGGCTGTGTGTTTCGGGCGGTGACGAGAGATGGACAGCCGGGAGCTGGTAGGTAATCATGGTGTTTAGAAGCTTGGGCATGGTCTTAGTAAGGTATCCAATGCTATTTCAGGGCGGCAAAACTGGATTTTCAAAGTCAATTTTCTGGCCATTCCTTTAATGTAGTAAGTACAAGCCGAGTCAACCATATCCAACAGCATCTGTGAGGCAAAAATGCGATGTCACTGACGGAAAACGGTTGCTTATCGTAATCTCCAAGCAGATGTTTCGGTGGCTGCAAAACAGTATCAAATTGGCCAGACAGTATCAAATTGGCCAGACAGTATCCAACACGTTGGGTGGCGTGTTGGATACTGGCTGGCCAATTTGATACTGTTTTGCAGCCACCGAAACATCTGCTTGGAGATTAGCTTATCGTAGGTTCGATCTAGCTATTTTATTGGTGGTGCCAAAAATAAGTTGATTCCTGTTGTCTCCCTTTGTGGCTATTTCAAACGCTTCAAGTATGAAATGATGTCGAAAATGTGCTAAAAGGTATCAGTAAATGTCAATATCAGACAGATTTCCTCATCCATAATATTTTTTTACGTTTGCCGCCCTGAAATTACACTGGATGATTTTAAGCAGGTGATGTAGGTGATATTCTCATTAAGTAGAGTAGACTGTCGTCTGTACGGATGGATTCTGCCCGTAGGCACAGGTGCCACGTAGCCAGGTGCCTAACCTGCCATCTGTACGTACGCGTGGCTCTTCAACCAGCCATGATGTTCACTTATTGATCACCCTCCATTCCCCACTGAGCCACTATAATGTGAACATTTTCTGCTTTGGCCATAATGTACTGTCAAACGTCCACCAAGTTCTACTCTACGTTTTTTATCCGGTCTCGTTATTGTAGTGATAATTCATGCTATGACAGCTTGTTCGATGCCACTGTTGCCGTTACACTCACGTATCATATCTGTCATTTTTGACCGCGTGGTTGTGGAATACGCTGTACGTTCTAGTTCTAGTACTGCAACTGGAAATTACGAAACAGTTACTCAATATACTCTTGGTGTCCAAACAGAAGCGCTAACTGCCGCCGCGCCGCGTGCCTGCGAAGCTGGTGTGTTACGCCGAAGGGCGGTTATACCGGCTATACCGATACAGAAGAGAGAGAAGCTTGAATAAATTGGCCAAGTACTAGCCAGGTTTGGGCTAATCTCCATTGTAAGAGACTTAGGCTTACTTTTGGCGTTTTGAACAGGCTCTCTTTTACGCCAGCCCAAATGGTAACTGCCTGGCAAATGGGTTCTCCCTGCCCAATTGGATACTGTATTTGCAGCTATCAAAGGATCTGTTTGGAGATTAGGGTTTGGGCACGTCTCAGGTACAAGTGGCAGGCTCTTGAGTACCTCCTCGTGTGACCATAATGCGGCCATTCACCGTCCATCAGGCGATATTCCGCCCGTATCACAGGCTTGGCAAGCTCTCGCCTGGTCTGGCTCTGAACCAGTTTATTAGAATTACCCCAACGCCTTTCTTGAGCCGGTTTTGGATGGAGCCGTCGTTTCAATATGTCAGCTTTACGACCTGCATCAGTGGGGCAGCGAATCTACCGGTGTGAGGTCAATTTGAGCTGAATTTGAGCCGAACCGGGCTGTTTCTGATCATGACAATGAGTCTCAGCCACGCGGTGGAAAAAAACCGTACATGTGACGTTTTGTCCCAACTGTGTTAAAGAGGTATCATGGAATATTTTGTACAAAAGTTGAAATATTTCAATTGGAAAAATCTTCATGTGGTTGTGATTTACTCATCTGACAATACTGACAATTATGGTGGGCGCCGAATGTTTCGAAATGTTTCAAACATTCGAATGTGGACGGGAGGCCATGGTTGGCTGGTGGTTAAATAGGAGTAGGTAGGGCGTGTGTGGGGGTAAGATGTGACTCAGATTTAACTCAAATTTGATTCGATTTGGATTTGTATGTTCCGACTGCTCCCGAACATGCAGTCAACCGTGGTTGGCTAGTGTTCGGGGGAAGGTTCTAAATGTGTGACAGGAGCTAGACTAGAGGATCATACCTACTGTACGAGACTGGCCCGTGCTCCCTTGAGGCCATGTACAGGTTATGCGAAACCAAAAAAAGGCTTTCCAAGACCAAGATTAGCACCAAAGCACTCCAACTGAAAGTCAGTCAGTTTTGACAGCATAGTTGAAGTGTTCTACTGTATGTTTACACTACTCGGGAGTCTCTTTTTTCTGGACTCCCTGTGTTAGTTCTGGTACCAACAGTGTTATTTTTACAGCAGACGTCGTCGAGTGTGTTTTCCTATGGCCCGTATTAGTCACAGTACCAGGTACATAGACCCTATTCTGGCTTGCATTAATAGTTTTTGTAACGATTTTATCTGCATCGAGATTCACACTCTCCAAGCAGAAATTTAGGCTTCGGCTTATTTTTGACGTGTTTGAGAGGTTTTAGCAGGATTTCTTTTTTGTAGAGGTATATTTTTAGTACGTAAATGGATACTGCATGGCAAAATTTGATGCTGTCTTTTGCAGACACCAAAAAAATCTGCTTGGTCTAGATTACGTGATCCATCGTACTGCCATTGTGCTGCTAGTGTGCTAAAGTAGGGGTGAAAAACAGAACATCGGCTACTGTTATTTTGTAGTATCTGTTTGTTGTCTTTATTTTGACTAGAAAACAAATCTATATGTTGCCCTACTTTATCACGTCGTCTCTAATATGTCAAAAGTCATTATGTATGGCGAGGCTAATAGCTGGAATAGCCGACCATATTTCTCACCATTATTTGGGTGTAATTTGGCTGTTCCGCGCTGCTGCAGCTCCCCTCCGTAACGGTAATTTGGGCCGTTTGCATATTCGATCGTCTATCGACATGTGCGCCGCCAGGAAATGCCTCACTGATCAAACGAGTGCATGGCTAATATTATTTTCGCGATCTTTCTGTAGAATACAGATACAGTCTAAAAGTATTCACTCTAATTATGCAAAAAGCCCCACCAACATACCGTATGAAAAATAATGGTATTTATGGGGGGGAATAACGTTACATTTTTGGCCCTTACGGTTGTAAAATTACTTTATTGATTTTCTGCAATTTCCTTAGGTTTCACTCAATTGTACAACAACCACTAACCAATTTGTGGTAAGCACCATCTGTTGTTCTTCTTATCGACAATCGTCACATAATGACTGTACACACGAATGTCTACATATTTGGCTTATATCGTTGCTCTGTTTGGCTTGCTCTGGTATGCTAAGCGTAAATAAACCCAATACATAACCGTAATTTTATCTGGACCAAGTGCTGATGCGATTTTGCACCTCTTTATTTTTCTAAGTGATTTACGTTGCTCCTGCACGCCCTACATAAAGATCCTCGCTTCAATTTGTCACGATCGCCCCAGTAACTATAAACACGCCAGTTTCCAGAGGCCGCCAGTTATAACTAGACAGGGACACGTCAGTGGGACAGTGGGGAGTCGCAGCAGCACATCATAACATTATTCCTGGCCGCTTGGAGAAGTGTCTAATTTCATCCCACGGTCCCGCATCTCGTAAAGAAGGGCCGCTGCGGTGAAACCGAAGTCCACGGCTGATATAACATGATAGGGGGTTGCTCTCGTGAAAGGAGTAATCATGATATACGAACACGTTGTAGTAATCTTGAGTTTTCTGGCAGATGTTCAAAGGTTGGGGTTGATCCAGCTAGCTAATGCGGAGCCCAATGTCAATGTCGACTGCGTAACTGAATCATGAGTTAGTTCTCCAGCCTAGCGGATCCTTTACACAAAAATGTGTCTCTGGCTTAGTTGGGTCAGAAATGATGGTCATGTTTATCTTCACTCGCTGGGAGGTGCTTTTTTCAATGGACCTTCGAAGATCTGTCGATTACTAGTAATGCCCGAAAATTCTTGAGTTACGATTAGATGAAGTGTAAATAGCAGTCCGCCGCCATGTTGGTGGACAGAGAACATCACGTGACTCGTACACTCTATAAATGATGGGAATCATTTTTTGACAGTCGTCGATTAGTACCTTGTCTCTTGTAGTACGTTGTGTACGTGAGTTGCCTAGCCTCATTACTTCAGGGAATGAGATATCCTTCCGCGGGAAGGTACTGTTTTCGGTCGTGTTTGTGTGTTCGCAGCTGTAGCTCACGGTGGATTTTGACCGATTTCTTTGATTTTTGGTATATAATTAGTTTTTGCAATAGAAATGATGAGGTTTGTTCTATTTTTTATGTACATGTGTTTTCGCGTATTGAAATAAAATAATTTGACATGATAGTGTGGAATCGTTTAAACTGTAGGGTTGTGAGCAGGCCAATCGAATAAAGTTAGTACGTCCACAAAGGTCATTGACCTCTTGTCGATCTTTCTGCGTGTACATGTATCAACTTGTTTTGCTTTTGTAATTTTAGACACGTTGCACCTTCGCGCGTTCCACAAAAAAAGTGTTACAACTTCACGGAGGTCTGTGTCCTATGGATTCTTGTTGTGTTACACTTACAACTTCTGCAGACAACATCGAACCATAACCTGGTGTAGAGTTGTAGACGTTAGCATCGATGATCATCGATGGCCGATGCTACAGACGATCAGTCCCTCACAATAATCTAGGACAGTTGCAAGCTGCCACCGCGGCCGTGTATTGATCTGTATCCGTGCTGGGGGCTCAGAAAGGGAGTTGTAAAGTTCTGTCTGCCAGGTCTGTCTATATGCACATTTCTAGATCGACAGGGCTCGAAATACTGGGTGCATGTGCACCTAAGAAGTTAGTGCATCCAATTTTCTTCTGTGCACTGAAATATTTTCGAAGGTTTACGTATGTAAAGATCTTAAATATATAGTAGTATACAGCATATACAAGTGCCAGACAAATAATAAAATCATCATTATTTTCTTTAGAAATGGAACATGATTAGTTTTTGCTGATATTATACTTATTGTGTCTTATATGGTGCACCCCAAAATTTTTTGTGCACCCAATTTTCAGTTTAGCACCTATTCCCAAAAATGAATTTGGAGC